CTGCCGCGGCCAGGGGTTCGCCGGTTCCAATCCCGGCCGCGCACCACTTGCCAAGTCATGTTGTGGCGGCGTCCCATATAAAGTGGAGGAAGACGGGCACGGATGTTAGCCCAGGGCCAGTCTTCCTGAGCAAAAAGAGGAGGATTGGCAGATGTTAGCTCAGGGCTGATCTTCCTCACAAAAAAAAAAAAAAAAAAAAAAAAACTTAAAAAAAAAAGGAGCTGGCCTGGTGGCGCAGCGGTTGAGTGTGCGCGCTCCGCTGTGGCGGCCCGGGGTTCGCAGGTTCGGCTCCAGGGCGCACACTGACACACCCCTTGCTAAGCCGTGCTGTGGCGGCGTCCCATATAAAGTAGAGGAAGACGGGCACGGATGTTAGCCCAGGGCCAGTCTTCCTCAAGAAAAAAAAAGGCGAGGACTGGCATCGGATGTTAGCTCAGGGCTAGTCCTCCTTGCAAAAAAAAAAAAAAAAAAAACCAGAGAGGTGGTGCTACTGTCATCTAGCGAGCAGAGGCCAGGGTGCTGCTAATATCCTACAATGCACAGAGCAGTCCCTACCACAAAGAATATCTGGTTCAAAATATCAATGGTGCTGAGGTTGTGAGACCCTGGGGTAGATAGTTGTCTGATCCTGGCCTTCAGATTATTAGTTTGCACATGCCTGGAATGAACCTTTAATCTAAGAAGTTTGCTGGAGACTCTAAAATCACAGAGCAGAGACTTCAGTACATTTACAAAACAGGCTGGATGACTTTTGGGGGGCTCAATATATATAAATGTGTGGCAGAATTTAGAATCTTGATTCGTTTTAACATTGTGGGAGAGGGCTTATAGTTCCCACCCACTTCTAACTATCACAGGCTCTGGATATTACCTAAAGAACTTGACATTTGTGAGTGGCCAGATTGGCTCAGGTAAGTTCACAGAAGGAAATGAGCCAGAGGGGGAAGGATAAAGGATAGGGTGGGAGGAGGCGTGAGACATTTTCAGACTTTCAGACTACCCTGACTCATTCCCAGTATGTAAGACCAAGGAATCCAAGCACTGAGATGCAGAGAGAATTTCCCACTTCTTCGTGTTGCTCATCTAAAGCCAAAATCCCACACTGCCTGGAGAAGATGGAATGCTTATTTCTCTACCCCCTCCCCATCACACATGCCTACTCCTCCATCACCACCTCAACACCTCAAAAGAATAAAGTATCTGCAAATCCTCCTGGAAGGATTAAGGACTTCAGACTCAAACAAAAGCTAAATACGATGTCTGATCTATGGTGAGCCAGATTCTTAATGAATCAACAGAAATGACCATCAATTATCAACAGAGATGCGCCTACGTGGTAAGGATGGTGCAGGAGCTGAGAACCTACAGAGAAATATCAAAATGTGTTACCCTTGGTCTGCTACCTCCTTAGCATTATTTTGACCTAGCAGTTTTAATTATAGTACTAGATCAAAATACTAGGTTACCCTTGAAATTTGGGCTTCTGCTTCCTCTAGAGAGAGCTCAAGTGTACAAGGAATGTTGTCCTTGGTTTGGGATGGGGGCCTCTCCCTCTGAGCTGGACCAGGTCTAAACTAGGCAGAGCCAAGAGCACCTTTCCTTCTAATAAAACAAAAGGGAAACAACAGCAGTAACAGTAACGCCTGGAGCTCCCTTCCGAGGTAAGACACGGAGAGAGTGTGGAGCGAAGGATCTTCTCCAGGCCTCGTTGTGAAGTGGGTTGTGGGTTTACAGGGCTGTGAAGCACATGGGGAAGCAAAGCTGGAGTTTATTTCCAATTTGGTCTTTGGAGATAGAAGACCAGGCTGGTGGCTGTACAGCTTCTCATCTAGGCTGAAAATTTACCAACAATATTTGCACACATTTTTAACTATATAATACGTTCTTACCCATGATCCTATTTTATTACCCTGCAACTGTGTAGGTGTTAATGTGAGGTGGGAGGAAGGGGTCAACTGTTACTTCCATTTGACAAATTAGTAAACTAAGACCAAGAGCTGAAGTGATTTTACTAAAGTTGCACAGCTAGTTAGATGGTCAGTCCAAGCCTGCAGCCAGGGCGCCTGACTTCCACACCCATTTTCCATCCACTAGAGCAGTGGTTCTAGAGTATGGTCTGGGTCCAGCGGCATCAGCATCACCTGGGAACTTGTTAGAAATGCAAATTCTTAGACCCATGCAAGTAAAGGGACGCTCAAGGTGCTACAACAAAGGCTTTTACCTTATACGGAGCAAGAAATGCCTGGTGTCCAAGCTGGATTTCGAAAAAGGAGAGGCCCACAAGACCTAATTGTGATTATTCGTTGGCTACTGGAGTGCTCCAAAGAATCTCAGAAGGTTAGTCTATGTTTTATAGCCTATAATAAAGCCCTTGACCGCGTGGATCGTGAAAAGCTATGGGCTGCTCTGAAAGAAATGGGCGTGCCTCAGCATTTGATCATCCTGATGAGTATCTGATGAGTAACAAGAAGCCACGGTCAGGACAGAATATGGAGAGACAGAATGGTTTCCTACGGGCAAAGGTGTCAGACAAGGGTGCATGTTATTTCCCTATCTGTTTAATCTGTACACAGAACGTATCAGACAAAAAGCTGGGCTTGACTCAGAGGAAGGCGGAGTGAAAATTGGAAGAAATATCAACAGTCTAAGACATGCAGATGACACCTCTTACTGGCAGAAAGCAGCAGTGACTTGAAACGACCTGTGATGCAAGTGAAAGAAGAAAGCGCCAAAGCAGGACTGCATTTGAGCATCAAGACAAAAATTAGGACTAAGAGGAACTACGCAACCTTAATGTAGGCAACGAAAACATTGAAATTGTTGAAGATTTCGTTTACCTTGGTTCAGTCATCAATTTAAATGGAGACTGCAGCCAAGAAATCAAGAGAAGACTGAGACTCTGAAGGGCAACAATGTAAGAATTAGGAAAGATCATCAAGGCTAAGGAAGAGTCATTAGAGACCAAGGCCAAGATTTTCCACACCCTCGTATTCCCAATTGCTATGTACGGATGCGAAAGCTGGATGGTGAAGAAGGCTGACAGGAAAGAAATTGATTCATTTGAGAAATGGTGTTGGAGGAGAGCTCTACGGATACCCTGGACTGCCAAAAAGACGAGCAAGTGGGTCCTAGAGCAAATTAAGCCTGAACTTAAGCCTGAAATTAAGCCTAAACTGAGGCAAAAATGATAACACTGAGGCTGTCCTACTTTGGGCATATCATGAGAAGGCAGGATTCTTTGGAAAAGATGATAACACTGCAAAAGAGTAGGAAAAGAGGAAGACCAAATATGAGACGGATTGACTCCATAAAGGACGCCATAGGTATGAGTCTACAGGAGCTGAGTAGAGCTGTTGAAGACAGGACAGTGTGACATCACTCATTCATAGGGTCGCCAGGAGTTGGCGTTGACTTGATGACACCTAACAACCAAGACCCCAACCCAGAACTACTGAATCAGAAACTCTAGGGGTGGTGCCCTCCATCAGTGGTTTTTTTTTTTTGGTTGTTTTTTTTTTTTTTTGTGAGGAAGATCAGCCCTGAGCTAACATCTATGCTAATCCCTCTCTTTTTGCTGAGGAAGACCAGCTCTGAGCTAACATCTATTGCCAATCCTCCTCTTTTTCTTTCCCCAAAGCCCCAGTAGATAGTTGTATGTCATATGTCATAGCTGCACATCCTGCTAGTTGCTGTATGTGGGACGCGGCCTCAGCATGGCCGGAGAAGCGGTGCGTCGGTGTGCGCCCAGAATCCAAAGCCGGGCCGCCAGCAGCAGAGTGTGCACATTTAACCGCTAAGCCATGGGGCCGGCCCTCCATCTGTGTTTTAACCAGCCCTCCAGAGGATACTGATGCACCTCAGGCTTGAGAGTCAGCCCATTGGGGTATTGTTGGTACCTGCTACAAACTCTTCTCACACCTTTGCATTAAAGGGACTCTTCTTAATCCCTCATATTTGTTTCCAGAATGGCCATAAAGTATATATTTAGGAAGCTGGTTACCTAAAGCCTGGACTGCTCAGGCTCTTTGAAACATTTCCTTTTAGTAAAATTCCAGAGCCAGCTCTTGTGGGGTTTGTGCTGAGTGGGTATGGGAACCTCAGCTTTCCTTTGACTTGATCTATCTTGGACCTTTCTTGCCCCAGCCAGATTTTATCTCCTTGGGAAAGAAAGTGTATCTAAACATACTTCTTCAAGATTCTTTTCTACCAGATACTTCCAGTTTGTTGATATAATAATTTTATACACAAATAGCATATAAAATATACTTTAAAACTCAAAAAGATCTGAGAAAGAGCTTTTGGACAACTCTCCTCCTCCCCCCTCCACAAACACACAAACTTACACACAATGCTGGACACATAGAAGGTACTGACTAAATATTTACTGAATTTATTAAAGACCTTTCCTTAGAATCAGAGGAGAAGGAAAGCAAATGCCATGAAGTCCCGCTGCCAGGAGGAGTCTTTATTTGAAATCCTTTAACACACAAGACCTTCAAAGAGTAATAGCACTATTGTGTCTGGTGAAAAACAAGTATTTGATTCTGTTACAGACAACATATGAGTTTCATTGTGTGTATCTTATCTGCAGTAGAAATGAGAGAGTTTCTCTATCTTAGTTATTCATTCAATTATTGGTTCATTCATTCACTTGTATTGAGAGCCCACACGCGCCAGCTGGGCATGCTTCCAGCCCTGGGTCTAGTGTGGTAAGTGAGGACCTGACCACGTGGAGCTTACAGTCTATGGGAAAGACAGATGATTGGATAAGTGATTTACAAAGAAGCGCAATGAATGTTGTCACAGGCCACACTAAATACGTTCTGAGCATGTCACAGGGTAACAGAACCATAGCAGGGAAGAAAAACAATTATGGTCACACACGAGGCTGATGGCCTTGGTCCTCAGAGGCCTATTCAAGGCAAGGCTCATAGGAACCACTCCAAACCAGTCTGAGTGGAGGAGGTGCTTCTGCGGTTTGGCCCATGTCAGCAGGTGGGTCACTGCCATGGCCTTCGGGGAAGGATGAAGATGATGGCGAAGGTCAAGAAGACCACGCTGGCCATGCCTCCAACCATCAGGCCCAGGATGCTGCTGTGCACCTGCGTGGCCTGACAGCGCTCCCCTGTGTAGAAGAAGGTGTGGTCGGAGATGCACCTGGGGGAACAGGACACAGAGGGAGTGTGAGACCCACCTGAGCCTCGAGCGCTTCCCAGTGACAAGCACCAACACGGCAATCCTGTAACCACCCTTTGAGGTGGTCGTTACTACCAGGTCATTCTCATCATCCTCATTTCACAGAAAGGTTAAATAACTTGCTCAAGGTCACACGGTTCGTAAGTGTTTCACACTTGAAGTCTAATCCCCGGAGGTCTGTCTCCAGACTCTGCACTCTTGCCCACCATGTGCAACGTCCAGAAGAAAGGTCTGGGGCACTCAAAGAACATGTCGCCTGACACTGGCTCAGACTATAAGCCACAGGGGAAATTCTCCAGATCGAGTCTGACTCAGTGGATTAGCTGGAGCTTGGAAACTTCTAGACAGTATCAATTAAAATGTTACCGTCAGATGAGCATACTGCCACCTATCTCGCAGGTTGGCCTGAAGTTCTCGTAGATAATGAGCACATTGTGTCTATCACGTGGTGTTTTGCACACAGCTGGCACACAATGGCTATGCGCTGGTGTTCCTTTTTATAAATGTTATTTGGTATAGAGATCAACTAATCTCAGAACCAAGGCATTGAGTGCAGTGTTTCATCCCTTCCATTAGAACAATTCTAGCCTTTGTTTCGAACAATGTTCCTATCACAGAGTCTACTCACAGAGCAGAATGAGATGATTAAAAGTCAAAGCCTCCTTTTATGAATCCTGGAACTATTTTACCTTTAAAAGTCTCATCTCTAGTCTAGGAATTGGCTTCTTAAAAACCAGTGAGTAATAGCAAGAATTGTTCAATTTTTTCTGGCCCAGTCCCTCCAAAAAGAGTTTGATTATATTCTCTAGTCTTAGAGAAATTGGAGAAAACCAGACAACATGACAACTAAATGTAATGTGGGGTCCAGAATTGGATCCTAGAACAGAAAACTGATGTTTTCTGGAAAAACTGGGAAATCTAAATAAGATCTGTAGTTTAGTTAATACTTGCTAATAGTATTTAGTTTAGTTAATGTTCATTTCTTGGCTTTGCTAATTGTACTATGGTTATGTAAGATGTTAACATTAGGATAAGAGAACTCTGTAGTATTTTTGCAATGTATCCGTAAATCCAAAATTGCTTCAAAATAAAAGTTAAAAAAGAAGAAAGAGAGTGGAGATCGAAAAGAACTCAGATGAAATATAGATATTTTGAGCCAAGCAGAGTGGTTTCTCCGTCTGTTGCTATTCTGTCAAATGTAACTGATGCTTCTGTCATCACATACATCTTTTTATGAAATATTTTTAAGCAAATGACAAACATTATAAAAAGAACTATTAAATATAGTGAGTCGTGCAGACAGACAGAACTGGATGTAAGTTCCAGCTCCAGTATTTACCATCTGGGTAATTTTAGACAAATTACTTAACCTCTCTAAGCTTCAACTTCCTAATATACTAAATGAGGATAAGAAGGACCCTTATGTCATAGGGTGACTGTGGGGAATAACTTAGATCGTGCATGTATACTGCTCAGGAGAGCATATGACACATAGCAAACAGTAAAAAAATATCAGATATTCTTATTACTATTATTGAAAATATAACTATAATAATAGTACAACAGAACTACTGGACAATAAAAATAATAATTAATAACCAAAGATAACATCAGCAGTCAGTGAAGGTGGAAGCTTGGTCCTGAGTCCCCCTGTGGCAGGTCATGGAGTAGAAAGTCCTTCGGCTAAAAGCTCTGGGTCTTTTCTGAGCACTGCGGTGGAGTTTGAAATCCTAACAGGATTGAAGATGTGGTTGACAATGCCCCACAGGTGGGAAAGGGATAAAAGTCATGAGACAGGTGATTTGGGACCCCTCTGCCCTGGCAAGACCCCTGCTCTGCCCTGACAGCATAAGCCCACTGACTCAGGGCACAGCCTTGTGGAGTCAGGGACAGCCACATCCAGTAGACCATCTGATGGGGTCTTTGCCCCAACCTGAAAGCAGCGCCTATTACCAGGGTTACACAAATAATCGGCTCACGTCTGCTGCCCCACCACCTGCCTCCCCCAGCCACAGAGCCTACCTGCAGCTCGCCACCCCCTTCACGTTCATACAGATGCCTTCATTTTGGCACGGGTTTGGGTCACACGGGTCTCTGAAGTACTGTGGCCAGTTGTGGTCCTCCAGGGGGCCCGTGTTCTCCACTGACCGCTTCTGTCGGCTGGGCTGCTCCTGGCCCGGGCTGCCAGGTAGGGCTTCCTCTAACAAGGCCTTTTCTGAGCCTTCTTCTGAGGCCTGCTGCTCCTGGCCTTGGAGAATGAGGCCTTGGGAAATCACACTTCTTCCAGTAGTCTGAACTTCAGTCTGGCTAAGGTGGGTGATATCTTGAGGAAACGGACAAAGGATGGTGAGGAAGATCTACAATTAATATCTGAATACACTTCACTTCCACTTATGGAGAAAGTTCCCTGGGCCACCTCTATCCCTCATGGACATCACCTTTAGTGACATGGAAAAGTGGCTTTGAATCCAGCTGAGTCTCATAATGCTAGCTATTTTTATTTTTAAAGTAGTCCAATCACATTTTTATTTAACTTGAAAAAAGAAGCACAAAGTAAGCATAAATAGATTGATTGAAACTAGATTGAAGTCAGTGAACTGTCATGTTTGATAAATTATCGAAAAAGGTGACAATAACATTTTAGTTTCTCCCAAGGAAAGTTAAAGTAAAGATGTGAATCCTTGAGCAATAGAGTAAAATGTGGTTCTCTTAGAACACATCTTTTTTTCAAGCTAGTCCTCAAAAAATACCCCCACCCTCCATGAATTGTTTAAAAATCAGTGCAAAATCAGTAGAACACCCAAAGCATAGGATTATTTATTCAGGAAGACCAGCAAAAGTACCTTCAAAATCCACAAGAAGTATAAGGTCATCATTTTTAAGAAAATTCCTCCTTGTTAGCATTTGGTGGGAGATGAAACTACTCCAGCCCCAGCCAATGCTTCTAAAACAATCACAGTCGTCATAATAGGATCCCACAGTGGATGGCCTGTCCCAGATGACGGAGTTATTTATTGCTGCAAAGTTATAGGTAGCATCAAATCACATTATGTCTTTATACTTCACTTTCCAATTTGTCTTTAATGAGTATATAGAGCTTTGTTATTCAGAAAAAATTATGTTGGAAAAAATCAGGTTAATTACTCTTTCCGGGAGAATTAAAACTCAGAATTGGAAGGGTGGAGACACAGAGAACCACAGCTCTGAATGGTCAATTGTCCACTCCTGAGTGACCTCCTCAAAGAAGAGGGAGGAACATCTATAGGCTTAAGTCTCAAGGCTCTTTATTTGAAAAAAAAAATAGTCTGCCCATTTCTTTATCGATGCAAGTTTGTTTCATGAACATACTGATGATCAGTAATATTGATACCAGCTCAACGCAAGGTTGACATAAGGGAAGCCATATCGTAGAAAAGAAACCCTATTGTAACTTTGAATGACCTCTGTTTAACTAACTCAGACATGCTCTATAGGTTTTACGGCCCCTCCCAGCTGTTGTAAGTTGATAACTTTGTTCTTTGGTTTTCTTAGGAATGTCATGACCCCTGGGCAGAGAGTCTATGCTGATAGCCGTCATCAATGACAACTGAAAGATCAGGGTATAGGGTGTTGCCCCAGTATCTGACGCATATCAGGTAAAACAAAAGACTATCAGGAACTAAGACTAGATGTCTGCCTCCACCTGGAGACCAGTCCCCTATATAACTGGCCTGTAATCTTTGTTCGGAAAGATGGTTTTTTTTGGACATTAGGTAGCCATCTTCCCCTTTGCTAGCAAGCTGTAATAAATAGTCCTTTCTCTCCGACTACCTTGCCTCTTGACTATTGGCATGTCTTGCGGCAGGCAGACAAACCCCCTTTTGGGGTGGTAACAATATTTTAGGAGTCAGTGCATTAGTTCTGCACAGAGCCAAGCAAATCCTGAGTATTTGATAAATGGTTAGCAGTATCTGTCTTCTCATTTAGACTGAGCTCCGTAAAGGAGAAGCTGCCTGATTTGCTTTTATTCTAAGTGCCTAGCATAGAGTTTGACATATTGCAAGTCCTTAAAAATGCTTGATGAATGAATTCAGAAAAGATAAGGAAGACCAGATGACATTGAAAATTTTAACTTAATGCTCCAACGTGGCTGTGTTGTTGATAAGCCCACAGAGGAAATGTTAACGGAGAGGAGCATTAATCTCTCTTACGCAGAGAAGAATCACGTCTGTTGGCCCTTCCAGGTTGAGGGGCAGATCTTACAACCACCTACCTGAAGATGTCTGGGACGTGGAGGTAGTGAACACCATGCTTGAGGACATTCTATTCCTGACATCGGGTTCCTGGTCGAGTATTGTCATTATCACTTGTCTGTTTTCCGCTGGCCACTCCAGGATAGCATCATTCTCCCCACTGCATAGGTGAAATGCAAGTCCTGTGTAGCCAGAGCTACTGGAGCTTATTGCACCATGAGGGTATAAGATCAACCCAAAACCGTATCCCTCTGAATTATAGAATCGAGGGCTCAGGAGGCTGTCCCCTTTAACCGTGTTTTGAAGGACCTGGGAGAAATTCCGTACTGTCCAAACCCCTGTGGGGCAGGCGGTTTCCGTCAGAGTGATGTCATCCAGGTAAATTCCCCCATTCGAGTTCTGGGGATCACCTTTTGTGCCCTGGAAAAGGTAGCGAAACTTCTTTTCCTCGCTGAGTGTCACATGGGCAATTTTCCAATTTTGGTCACTGTCTCCTGAGGACACAGAATAAGGAGGGTGACAACTGTGGCCAACAGTTATTGAGCACTTACTATGATCCCGGTACCATGCCAAGGGCTTTCCATGAATCATCTCATGTAGTCCTCACAACGGCCCTAGGAGACAGGTACTGTTATAAACTGGTTAAGGGACTTTTCCAAAGTGACATATCTAGTAAGGGAAAATAGCTAAAAGAAATGACACATTATGACATTTTAAAATTCGTATTCCAACTTAATCATGAATTTGTTTTCCATTATCATTTAATTCCACAGGATCTGGGTTTCCTCCTGGGTTTGATGGCATAAATGCACCTCACCTCCAAATGTTAGACCTGAATACCCAAGAATTAGGCTGAACCATAGAAAATAGTCATTTTGTAAGCCAAAAGTCAAATAATGGCAATTTCATAGAGTCCGAGCAACGACTTAATGCCAGAGAGATATATGGCAGGCTCTAGAGTAGATAACTTGCAAGACCAGCTGGATCTCCTCTGCACAAAACTGACTCATTCTCTAACATCCAATTTTTTATCTTCCTCATATTATCTGAAATTCCGCCAAGTAGGAGATCCCTCCTCTTTTAAAAAACAAATAATCCCAATAGAGTTACCACTATCTAGATACGCACAGTGCAGTGAAAATTAGATCTACCTGCTTTTTTCCTGAAACTGAAGGGGAAGTGGAAATTTTGACTAAAGAGCCGAGGTAGGAGGGAGAAGCTTGTTCTAGATCATGAGACCCCGGGCTGGACAGCATAAGAAGCCAGAAAGGAGCTGGAGCATCTGGGGAGAAGAAGCTGCCAGGCCAGCAACTCAGAGTTCCCCAAAGATCTTCGGGATTGTGCCCAGGGTGTGCCCTAGGGCTGAGAGAGGAGAAGAAACATGTGACATCACAAGAGGGAATGATGCTGCCTAAAATGAATCCACACAGATGAGTGTTACAGAAGTTTAACCTGAAATACAATTGACCAGAGGGCTTTGAAAGGGTCTTTTATCCCCTTTCTGTGTGTTGTAACCGGTAACCTACTTACAGAGCTGTACTTTCCCCAAAACTGAAGAGCCCTTTTATCTCCCTCTGTTCTCGGTGATTGTCTCCAAGGGACAGGTCTAACAAGGTTTTTTCCTGAGGTGGAGCTGGTTGTGGCCTGTGTAGTCGGGTTACATGTACACATAGGAGAGAGATGGAGAAGGTATAGCGACCATGTCTATAACATACGAACTGATCTAACTGCCATCTCCTGGGGACAGGAGTGCGGCCAAGTGGAGGCCACGTGGACTTGAAATGTAATGGTGTCAGAAAGTCCAGAATAGGGACAGATACATAAGATTTGAACTACTTAATCAGCAGAGTTATAGATCATGGGAATTCTGAAAAGAGAACAAGAATCCCTTTCTTGCTAATGACTAAGTGCTTTTTTTTCTTCATATGGGTTGACCATGAGGTTGAAATGTGGGAACACAGTACTGAGAGGAAGACCTGAGGGGCCATTACCAGATGGGCAGTGACTCCTCTACAAAGTCATTAAGAAGGTTCCATTTACATGCTCCCACAGAGCAGCTGTGAATCAGGCAGGCAATAAACGGTACTGAGATTGTTTGAGAAGACAAAGCTCATCCCTGTTAGTTCAGAATTGTCATCCTTACGGGGATCCTGGCCTCACTAAAAACATAAGTGTGTGTGTGTGTGTGTATGTGTACATACGCATATTTGTGTGTAAGAATTTTGCATGTAAGTTGGCATATAAGCATACATATATACATACACACACAGAAACATATTTTGTATGTAAGCATTTCGGTTAAAAAATACATTTTGCAAAAGTCAAAAGCTATTCAAAAACGGTTGCAACTCTCTTAAGTTGAATAACGCATGAAGACTAAATGATATTCAACTAAACTTTTACAAAAGTGTCATCGACAAGTCAGTATCAGAATGTACTACTTTAAAAATCCATTCATTTTGTGACAACATGGATGGACATTGAGGGTATAATGCAAAGTGAAATAAGTCAGAGGGAGAAGGTCAAATACCGCATGATTTCCTTCATTAAGTAGTAGATAATAACAACAATAAACAAACACATAGGGACAGAGATTGGATTGGTGGTTACCAGAGGGGAAGGGGGGAGGGAGGAGGGCAAAAGGGATAATTAGGCACATGTGTGTGGTGATGGGTTGTAATTAGTATTTTGGTGGTGAACATGATGTAATCTATGCAGAAGTACAATGATGTACACCTGAAATTTTTACAATGTTATAAACCAATGTTACTGCAATAACAAAAAATTAAAAAAAAAAAAATCCATTCAGGGGCCGGCCCTGTGGCTTAGTGGTTAAGTGTGCTCACTCCGCTACTGGCGGCCCGGGTTTGGATCCCGGGCATGCACCGACGCACCACTTCTCCAGCCATGCTGAGGCCGTGTCCCACATACAGCAACTAGAAGGATGTGCATCTGTGACATACAACTATCTACTGGGGCTTTGGGGAAAAAAAGGAAGAGGATTGGCAATAGATGTTAGCTCAGAGCCGGTCTTCCTCAGCAAAAAGAGGAGGATTGGCATGGATGTTAGTTCAGGGCTGATCTTCCTCACCAAAAAAAAAAATCCATTCATATGACACTTCCAGGGAACTTACAGAGACACACTTTGAATTCAGTGGAACTCAAAGCATACCTGTGTAAGGAGCTAAGAAAGCATGAGAAGTTTGCTTGGTTGATTTTATGCTTACGAGGATAATATTGAAGCTTTATATGAAAGTGAGCAATAATAGATCCCACCAATATTATTGAGACTCTGATTTTCTCATTAAATATTTCCAATCCTTGGTAACAGCAAATTCTCAACTCTTAAAGGGCACCTAGCTGTCATCCCTCCACTTGATAAAGATGCTCTGTACATTTCAGCCAGAAAAGTGAACCCCTCGAAACCCTTTCTGTAGTGTTCCCAGGGAGCCCACAGAGTGGCCCGGGGGAGGCAATTGGGCACCTGTTCTTATAAATGGCTTCTAAGGAAGCTTCCACCCTTCAGGAGCAGCGGCTTCATCTAGACGTTCACAAAGAATGCTTCCTTTATTGGGACTCATCTTAACTGAGAAATTCTTTGTTGAATGGAAAAATAGGAAAGCATGTCTCTCTTTTCCTACTCATGAATGAACCACCACCACAACAAAAGAATGTAAATACTTAGCTTTATAACCTTGCATCTTGATTTACAGCCAGCCTACCCTCACATCAAACTGCTTACCGTAGCATTTTAAGGTTTTCATGCTGAATCTCTTATAGAAATACAGAAAGTATCACTTAGGAATACGTAAATGATTATAATGGAACTAATATATACAAATGGCTTATTTCCCATCAACTTCACAAGTAGGCTTCAAGTTACTTCAGTGAATTAAATAACGGTATCATTTGGTTGTGTGAAACAGACGCCGGAAGACTTATGGTCTCCAGCAGCATTACTCCCGGCTTCCCTTTTACGTTCCAAACTGCACCCCTGAGTCATCAATTTTCTCTGCCCTCACTTTCTCCAAAGTTCTAGTGAAAACTGAATTTGTATATTCTCATTGGCTTCTTACCAAAGTGTATTTCAGCCTCATCTAAACCCTGGATGCTGCTTCTAATTTCTGAGGGGTAAAAACATTCATTGAGTGGTTGAAACATACCAGCATTATGCATTTAGAAGAGGAAGAAGGGAGGTGGAGGACAAGGGAGGAAGCAGAGTGGGAGGAGGAGAAGGAGAAGGGAGGGGCGAAGGGTGAAAAGGGAGGGGAAGGGAAAGGAGAGGATCAGGATCTCAGATTTTAAGCCAAACCAGTCCTTGCACGGATGCCTCTAAGTACCTTGAAAGGTCTTCACCTTGACCAGCTTTCGAACGTTGCCCGTGCTGTCATCCCTCCTGACCCAGACGACGAGTCTATCTGAAGGGCTTCCTGTCATTTTGTAGAAAAACTGCAGGCACTGCTGATTCCTCTTTGGGTAAAGAATCCTAGACTCCAACAGGGCTGCCTCTTCTGCCGACCCTGAGCTGGTGCTGAGGTGCATGAAGTAGCCGGCACCTGTGGAGAGAGCACCCCAACGTCCCATCGCTGGCTGCCCACACCCTCGACCCCGGGTACCCTCGACCCGGCCAAGTGAAAATGTGAACAGCCATTTCCAGGAAACAAAAGCTAGAACTCTTCTGGGGAAAACAAAAAGAAGGTTGTTTGTCAGTAAATATTCTGTTTGTCTCCATGGACAGACTCGCTGGCTAAAGCCATAACCCAGCTCTGCTTTTGACTGTCTTTGTTCCCAAGCTTGTAAAATGTGTACCTCCAACTTAAGGAAATACGGGCTTCAAGTAAAGTTTGATGGAATTTAGCATCTGTGAGATGAATTCCATTTTCCTCACTGATGTCATTGTTTAAACTAGAGACTCACTCTGAGAAAAAGAGCTAGCCTCCTAGTTGTATAAGAAACTGTGGGATCAAAGGTTTAGGAATTGGGGTTTAAATATTCACAATGATAAAGGTTCAATTTTACCTGTTTCTAGCCTAATAACTGGGTGTATTATCAGTGGTAAAGAATCATCTTTACCACGTCATAAGAAGGGGCATTCAAGGCATACTAGGGACTAACTGAGGATTTCTCCTGAATGTAAGGAAATCTTTGAAAGAACACTGAAAAAGAGGGGGGAGGTGCTACATTTGTGCCAGAGCTTGGTTTTGCCCAAGTCAGAAATCTCAAAACTCTCTCTCCAAAAACAAGTTGGCAGCTATACGGATACATCACTTGGAAAACCAGCACACTTTCCAAAGTCAAGCACAATGAACAGGTCTTGCATATAAAGAAGCCATTTAAACTTGCTCCAGTACTCAATCTCTTACCAAATGCTCCACTCGAAACATTTCTCAAAGTAAAGATGATGTTAGTGTCTAGTACAGTTCTAGATATTATGGCAGCATGCTTCTCTGCTCCATCCTGCCTCACACACAGGGTGTGTGCCTTCCTTGTTGACAACGAGCATCAATGTTTAAATAAGCTTTCCACAAAGCTTAAAAATATCGTAAGAGCTCTAATGTTACACCTGGAAAAATTATATTTTCTCGCATGTTCTTCTCAATACTTGAACTTAGTAGCCTGAGACCTCTGCATTATGAATTACTGAGTGCTTGGCTTAAAGAAAACAAGAACTCACACGGCCAATAAGGTCTCCGGGTGGTCTTTGCTCAGGAATTCCACCCAAGTGGACTTGGAAATGGGAAGTGAAAGTCCAACAACTCAGGCCTGGGAGTCAGGAGACCTGAATTCTTGCCCTGGCTCTGCCACTAACTAGGTGTTCTTCATCTCTCTGGATTTCGAATGGGAAATCTATCCTTCAAGCTCTTCAAGTCTATGCATCTGCTAAACAATGCCAGTGCTCTCTAGCAGAGGGAACACGGTCCCATCAAGCGCCTCCTGTGGAAGAAGCATAATGGCTGGTCAAGGTAACCTGATAAAGCTTTTCTAGATGTCTCTTCTGGGGTGTGATTCTTTCCTTTCCTATTAAGGTGCTAGAACATTGTTCCAGCAGGTTCCTCTCACATGAAGATCACCTTTCTGTTTAGCTGGAAATTGTATATTAGCCTAGCAGCAATCTCACAGGAGAGATTGGAATAGAAGCTATGATGGAAATTTAGAGAGAACTTCAGGCTTGGATCACCCTTTGAACACTTAAGATTATATCTTTAATAATCTGATGTGTGACAGAGACTTTCACCCTTCGCAAGGGCCAGAGGAACAGTGGCAGTGTTTTATGACCTCTGATATTCTTCTCCCTGGTGGCCTGGGATCTGAGTGACAAGGTGGGTTCCTTCTATGAAGGAACTCTAACCAACTCTCACACAGGCATAGACTAAAGGACTTCATAATAGTCCAGTCTTTAAAAAGCAATTATAGGGGCCAGCCAGGGGGCATAGTGGTTAAGTTTGCATGCTCTGCTTCTGCAGCCGGGAGTTCGAGGGTTTGGATCTCGGGCACGGACCTATACACCACTCATCAAGCCATGCTGTGGTAGCATCCCACATGCAAAATAGAGGAAGACTGGTACAGATGTTAGCTCAGGGCCAATCTTCCTCACCAAAAGAAAAAAAAAAAGCAATTATAATCTATAACCCCACCTGCTTCCAAATAGGGTTGAGATGATTTCAATGACAGGCACATAATAAAAGGATATCAAAATAGAAATAAAAAATAAATGGAACCTCTGGAGAGAAACAGAACATGGGGAAAAACTACGGAGTGAAGTTGCTGGTCTGCAGCTGGAAGCTCTGCATGCATTATCTCCTTCCATCCTCACTGTGAAGTATCAATTTCTTGATGGTCAGAGAGGCTTGTAAAAGCAAAGACTTAAAAAGTAACAATAAAAACAACTTCCTGTGGTCACAGTTAGCAAGTGGTGGAGCCCGATTTCAAACCCAGGTCTGTCTGACTTGATGGCTTTTTCACCACACAAACCATATTTGAACTATCTGAAGCTGTGCTATCCAATATGGCAGCTACAAAACATATGTGGCTTTTGGGCACTTGAATTGTAGCCAGTCCAAACCAAGATGTGCTGGAAGGGTAAAATGCACACCAGATTTCAAATACCTAGTATACAGAAGTGTGGAGTATCTCATTAATAATTTTAATATTGATTACATGTTGAAATATTTTGGATATAGTGGGTTAGATAAAATATACATATATATTTTTTTGTGAGGAAGATCAGCCCTGAGCTAACATCTGCCAATCCTCCTCTTTTTGCTGAGGAAGACCAGCCCTGAGCTAACATCCATGACCATCTTCCTCTAGGGACGCCACCACAGCATGGCCTGACAAGCAGTATGTCGGTGCGTGCCCGGGATCTGAACCCGGGCTGCCAGCAGCGGAGCACGCGCACTTAACCCCTACGCCACAGGGCCGGCCCCGATAAAATATATTTTTAAAGAGAATTTTCTTTGTTTCTTTTTTATGTGGCTGTTAGAAAATTTGACATTACATATGTGGCTTGCATTATAGTTCTATGGAGGGCACTGCTCTAGATACATCACCCTTATTTGCAAAGTCATGTCTGATCAACCATTTGTCTGTATCAGTTTCATAATTGCTTACATGCATATTTCTTTTGCATGCCCAGAACCTGAATTCTTTTTATTGAGTTAATAAATAAGATATGAGAAATGTTCTTTGTCCTTTTCAGACTTCCAGGTTTGATAACTAGCATTCCAATGGAGGCAAAACATGCTGACAGCCATCACCTAGTTGAACCTGGTGAACCAACTCAATGTGTTCATGTTCTACCTTCACCAACCTGTACATTGTCCCACCAAGGTGTGATCCACTTGTCCAGGCTGAGTGCTGTCCTCATGGACCCAGTCAGCATCGTCTCTGGTACCCTGAATCATCCCACAGATGTTTGTCTTCTCAAATGCACAGTGATCCAAAAGGGTGTGCGTTGTGGCTGCAAATGATATTTTTGTCACCTGGTTAAAAAGTTAAGTCATCTCATTTCAAATACTTAATACCTAAGTACCTAAGACCTCATTGTTCACATACAGTAGAATCATGAGCCTTTCATTGTCTTGACTTTTTCGCAAATGCAAATCCTACTCTCATCCATTAGATCTTAGACTTGCCAACATATATGCAGCCCTACCTACCTCACAGAGTCACAGAGTCACATGATAAAGAGAATCATGCTTTGGTATGTAAATGCCAACCATGAACTCCTTTAGATCAAGAACGAGGTACCTAGATACTGGGCTTTGTATTTAGTAGGTCTTCTGTACATACATACTGAACAGAATTAAACAATGTGTCTCTGAAGACTAGCGGGTTGTTGGTTCACAACTGTGGGAGTTTCCCAGGTGAGATCTGATCCAAGGCAGGGAGAGACTGAAGAAAGAGGCAGACCACTCCAGATTGGTAGGTGGCAGGTTTAATAAGCAAGGGAACTTACACATGAGGCTTGTCTTGGGAGCCTCATGATGAGTAGATCTCCACACTCACCCACTAGATTCTTGAAGGTTTATATAGAGGCCTTGACTGGGTTCAGTGACATATACCATCCACACGGTCTCACCAACACATTGCTCTCTCAAGGCTGCGTCCTTGAAAATGGCTCTGGCTGTGGGAATGGTGGGTGGAATGTACACTTTAAGGACAGGGGAGGGGTGAGAAGCCTCAGAGTGCCCAGGTCTAGCTCAAAGGTCAACCGGCGATCACATCCTTTCTATGACCTCCTCCAACATGGGGTCATCTGAGAAAATATGCCGTCCCAGAGCATTAGGTTACTCTAGGAACAACTAACCTGGGTAAAGAATTTGGCAAGATACAAAACACCTTCAAGCCTATCACCGACCCTGAGCTTTACATAGTGAAGCATCCTTCAAAAGGAAGCTAAAGAAGTGAGACAACTACAGCTCCTTACATTGGCCCAATACTTTCACTTTACAAAACACAACCACACAATTGATTTTCATAACCATCCTATGAGGTGGGTGTTGTAATTTTTTCTACTCCAGAGACAGAGAAACTAGGGCTATGTAGTTTGTTCATTTCCCTTAACTAGAACACGAACGAAGAGGAAAAGAAATGTATAGGAAATCGATAAGGCTGGAGGACTCTCTGTGGGGACTCGTATACCCAGTCCTCATACCCAGAGGTACTCACTGCAGTTATACATTCGGTTTAGCCTCTCCAAATCGATGGCACTGAAATCAAGGCGCTGCCCGATGATGGAGTCAAACTCAGGGATCTTGGCTGTAATGGTAGGGACACTTGCATTCTTGTTAAATGAGTAAGGCCCGTAGTGCATCACAGACTGGTAATCATAGGGCGTGTTGAGGTCTGTGATGATGTCATCATCATAGGTGTCAAAGTTGTGCTCGTATCCTGTCAGGGAGAGAGTCCACAGGTCCTGTTCGGTCACATCATTTCCCCTGTCCTACCCTCTTTGACCAGGTTCTCAAGCAGAGATCAAAAAAAAAAGGGAGACAATGTATCTTTGATTTAAATGTATTTACATATTTAATGTATTTATAATTAGCATAAGGTATATAAAATTAATACATATTAATCACTATTAACTGATTAATACTATGATATTAATATACTATATAATAGTATATAAAATTATTATAATGAGTATAAAAATACATGTTATAATTAATATATAAATATATACACATTATATATTATTTAATGTATGTATTTATTGAAATAGAAGATTCATTATATATCTGTGTGAATGTATATGTATAAGACTTTCAGAAAGAGAAGATAAAATATCCAAGTGGAGGCAGATACTCCAAATGGCAAGAATTTGTGAATTCAGGAAAATATTCAGGATTGACACATCTTGCTAACAGTCAAGTACCTCAGCCACCAAGAGCTGTACCTGGCCAGTTCTTCCACGGATTAGAGAAAGGTAATCTGAGGGGCAGAGGGAAAGGTAAGCAGCTGGCAAGAAAAGGGCATCCTGTCAATCAAGGCTCATATTCTTCTGTTCCAGAAATAGCCCCATGGAGACAAAAATAAAACAGGAAGAAGAAAATTTATTTTCCTATCAAAATAGAAAAGGAAACCATTTTCACGAGATTAGTGCAAGTGAGCTAATATGTATTGCAATGTGGAATGCTGAAATGAGAAGCTGGACAGATGCTCTTTTCACCTGCTAGCCACCGGAAATGTACTGTTTCAGCTGCAATAATGGGAAGTTCACAGATTTTTAATTTCCTTCTTGGGCAGTGACAGGAAAACTGAATGAGAGGGGCCGGCCCTGTGGCTTAGCAGTTAAGTGTGCACGCTCCGATACTGGCGGCCCGGGGTTCGGATCCCGGGCGCACACCAAGGCACCGCTTGTCCAACCATGCTGAGGCTGAGTCCCACATACAGCAACTAGCAGGATATGCAACTATGACATACAACTATCTACTGGGGCTTTGGGGAAAAAAAAGGAGGAGGATTGGCAATAGATGTTAGCTCAGAGCTAGTTTTCCTCAGCAAAAAGAGGAGGATTGGCATGGATGTTAGCTCAGGGCTGATCTTCCTCACACACACACACAAAAAACTGAATGAGAATGCTCATAACTCTTCCGCTAACTTCCCGTCCTCGTGTTCTTCTCCTCTCTAGCTCCCATCCAGTTGTTTTTAACAATTAGAGAGAAGAAAATGTAACCATCTTTCAAAGACTTCAACGTGGGTACATTTAGAATTGAAGAAGTGTGGGGCAACCTCGTGAGGGTCCAGCATGTGCCAGACAGAGTCTCCAAATGCGTTTGGAAAAGCCAATGAAGCCCTTGGAGCAAGACCTTGCTCTAACTATAAAATGAGAAGACTGATCTTGCATCCTCCCACCTCGTGGGGATTTTATGGGGATAGGGATCAAAGCATTTTCATAGGTGGGACAGGACTGAAAGAAATAAATGACCCAAACAGGGAAGGAGGAAAGTAACTCCTTCCGGATCATTTGGTCCTAGGATGTCATTTGAGGGGTAGAATTATAAAGAGCTTCAAGGTGGTGTGAGGGCTGGGGCTTGGGTCTGGAATCTCCTGGTGACTCTTGGTGGCACCTTAAGCAAAGCACTTTCAACTCACTGGATGTGTTTTCTTTAACTTTCAATAAAATCATCAAGTTAGAATAGATTATTTTATTCTTTATTATTCAAGGATTCTTACCAGAATGCTTTACCCCATTAATGTTTTGAATAATTTTAAAAAATTTATTCAACACATTTTTGTCATGCCTAATCTCTACTGGAAGCTGTGCTAGGTAGGAGGTGGCCCCGGCAGTGAATAGAACAGGCATGGTCCTGCCTTCAGGCAACTCACAGCTGAGAGCCTTGAAGACGGAGTGGTCTTGTAAACCAGAGGTCAGTCGGCAAACCTTTCGTGTAAAGGGTCAGATAGCAAATATTTTTGGCTTTGCAGGTCATATGGTCTCTGTCACAGCTACTCAACTCTGCCATGTAGCACAAAAGCAGCCACGGACGATACATAAACAAATGGGCATGGCTGTGTTCCCACAAAACTTTGTTTACAAAAGCAAGTGGATATGGCCCATGGGCTGTAGTTGCAGAACCCTCCTAGACTTCAGAAGTTGAATTTCTTCCTTAGTGGGAGGAAACAGATCCAGAAAACACAATTCTGACTTAACAAATGGAGACGGATTTGGGGAGAGAAGCACACTGCCAGTACAGTATGTTCTTAGGTTAAGCAATAAGATTGTCATCTGAAGACGAGATGCAAAAAAAGTCATAAATTACCCTGAGCAATAATACTGCCCTTGCTTATGATTTTATTGTATTTGATGTCTCATTTGAGAACCATTCTCCAGTGATTGCAGGCAATTTAGAGATATGGAATTATGCCTGATGAAAATATAGACAGGTGATGAGCAAATGTGTTGAGTAACCCATGCTCAACCCAGGACTGAAGCAAGTCTGCAAACTACCCTGGCGAAATGTGTCGGCTCCCTCTGAGAAAGGGAACCTCATTTGACCTAAAACCATCTGAAAAGCACTAAGCATTGTGTTCTTCGATACTTAAAAATGTGGATGTTTTCCACTTCCTCGTGTAATTTTCAGCAGAGGCAAGTATGTATACGGGAAGGTAAGAAATTCAGGCCTCTAGGCAAATATAGACAAAGTCCTAGAGTGCCCTGAGTCTCACAAGCAGAGATTTGATCTTTGACCTATGACCCCCTCTCTCCTTTCCCCTCTACACAGACCCAGCTATTACCACTGGAAGACAAATACATTAAATTTTGATCTGTTATTTCATATCTGAGTGAATACTCTCTAAGACTTCTCAAGATTGGACTGGGAGGCAAAGAAGAAATGACTTGGCCTCTAGCTCAGTGGTTGGATGGTCGGAGGGGTGGAAGTGTGTGTGTAGGTCTAATTCTGGTGATGTATTAGGCTTACAAACCACACAGTTTCCTCCTTTCGCCAGCACTCCATATTCACAGGAATATCAGACTATGAGGTACTGCGATGAACAGAGACTGAGAAACCCATAGGTGATTTTGATATGATCAGCCATCCCCACCTCTAACTCACGTGAGAACCATTGATCCACCTCACTCCAAAATGAGCTAGTTCAGGCAGAAGTCTTTTGGGATTCATATTTAATTTTAAAATATGGCCAGTTCTTCCAAGTCCCTAAAGGTAAAATTATTAGAGATACGCTACAGTACATGAATCCATATATGATATTGGGATCCAAATAAAACAGATAATTACAACGCAATTATTTGCCTTACAAAAACCACGTGTGATAATAAAGGCATTTCTGATATACTAAAATTTCATTAATCTATTACTGCCAAAAATAATGCTTTTCCACTCCCTAAACTAATTTCTAATTAAAAATTAGATGTTTTCAGAAACACGGCATTGACTTTTCCCCCAGCACACTGGGAAAGTATTCGACAAATAATGTTTTAGTGTGCTCGAAAACACTCGACTTAGTTCCGCAAACAATTAAGGAGGGTAGTGTCCAGGGAAGTCTAACAAAACTAAAGAACATGGAAATTGTGCGAATAACACAACTGCATAATAATATGTGAAATAAAACTGGTCATCCTTTGCATAGTATAGGCTGGGGGCAGAAGAGAGGTGCTCAGGAAAGAGAAAGAAAGGACCAGAACATTTTGATTAACTAGAACTCAGACTATTAGCCAGAATTAACATAATTAGGGGTACAATTTCAGATAAAAGTATTCATTTCTGTTGTTTTGTTTTGTTTTTTTAAAACCTATCATTGACTTGGTAAAGCACCAAAAAAATTCTTGAGTGTGTTTTAGAGTCATCTTACAGTCAGCTAAACCTCATGGAGTCTCCTAGAGCTACATAAGATTTCACATCCCGAGAAATGACCCCGACATCCTCAGAGACTTAATTCACTTGACTCACTAAGACAGGAAAATAGACAGCATTTTAGATAGATTTTCAGCAAAAACACTGAAACAAAGCAAAACCTTCTCATTAACTTTCAGTTAACCCCCACATTGAGTTAACCAACATACACCATTCCCTGAGACCTTTATTTGGGATCAGTTATGATTAGATCAATATAGTCCACAAGAGAAGCCAAGAAATCATACCCTCTTCCTATTGTATGTTCCCACTCGAGAAGCTGAAGCCCCCATCCACACACAGATTTGGCCAGGTCATCCCAGGGTTGATCTCAGCAAGCGATAAAGATATTAGCAAATCCCACCCAACCACCTTGGGTTCATACACACCTGAAATGATTTCATCCCACCAGATGTTCACGTAATCATCTCGGTCAGTCCTTGACTGCTCATGGTAAAATCCCAAAGCATGCAGGATCTCATGTTCAATGATAGCCTTATAGTCACATCCCTGGCCAATGGAAATATTCTGTCCCACATGTTGGTCACCAACCTCAGACCAGCACCTTTAAAGAGGAGAAGAGGGAAATTTTCTTCTAGAGAATTCTTAAGAGGTTGTAATTCAGAAGATTCCAGAACACAAATTGAAAGGAAGTTAAGTTCAATGAAAAAAAGAAATTATCAATAGCATTCTCATAGGCTAATGGTTCAACATAGGGGACTGGTTAAATAAGCAATATTCCCTGGAGGGAATGTTATGCAGACTTTAAAAGTGATGGTCCACCAAAATAGTGGTACAGACGCAGAGGCAAATTAATCCTAATAATGCATCAGGTAGAAAGAAGTAAAAATTGGCATTCTTCCTCACCTTCACAAACCCATAAGGCATTCCAAAGAATAATGCTATCGCTTTTATACCACAATATTAAGTTGTCTCTGAGTGGTGGCTGTGGTCGATATAAATTTTCTCCTTTATACTTGAATGAATTTCCAAATTTTCTTTAATGAGCAGGTATATGTTTTATGCTCATGAAAAAGAACTTCCTTAAAAAAGCAAGTTAATCAAGTCCATTTCTTTGGATGTAAGCCGATCTGTAGCATGATGATAGCACAGAGCAGGCTGCCCAACTTACTCCTGAAGGAGAACACGTAACTTCCCTCCGGAAACAGTGGACTCAGAAACTGTTGGCAGAGACTCTAAATTCCTCATGGTGTTAAACTCTTGCCCTCTTTTCCCCAACTATTTTTGTCTTTTCTCATAAATCCAATTTTCCACCTCTATTAGCAAACTCAAAGTTTTCCACAAATTGTCTCCTTACCAGCTTTAAGGTGAGGAACAAGAATCTAGACTCTAATCCATGCTCAGCAGGATAAGACATCTGCCGATAGTTCTAAACACAACCAACAAATTGCAAGTTCCTTGGTAAAAATCATGTTGTCTTACCTGCCATTGTTTCCCTGAGATTGCTAACATCAAATATTTTCAAATGCTAATGGATTTGATTTCTATTCAAAGATGGATCTGAATTATTTTCTAACAACTTTATTAAGGTATAATTTACATACCATAAAATTCATCAATTTTAAGTATACAATTCAGTGATCTTTAGTAAATTTACCGAGTTGTGCAAACATCATCATGATCACCTTACCTCTCTGACAGTAGCATTTCATTACCGAATCAGAGTTTACTCTGCAAAATATCCACCATCCAGAGGAAGCATTTATTTATTATCTTTTTTTTTTTAACATCTCTCTCTAACAGAAAGGTATAAGTTGCAAAAATACTGTAACTCTGCCACTCTGTGAATCTTCTGCCTTGTCTTTCTGAAAGAGCTCCGCTAACCTCCAGCTTCAGGGGACCAAGGCCCTGAAGTGTTTGGGACATTTTGGTCCAGCCGCTTCTCCAAAACTACCTCCTTTTCTCTTCCCCTAACTTAAATGTAACAGAGACACCTCCTGGCCCAGGCTATACGAGTCCCCCAGATTCAGGTTTTACAGAAAATGTCCCTCCAAGTTGGCCCACCCCTTCATCAGGTACCTGGGGACTGAGTTGCAAAATGAAAAGAAGCCAAGAGAATTTTACTGGAAAAGGGACAACTCTTGGAAGGTAATCAGATCAACTTTGTTTTATTTTTAAGGGAGACAACTTCAAAAAAAAAAAGTAGTAGTTAAAAAATGGAAATAAAAGCGTTTAGAAAATGAAATTTATTCCTGAAATTTTTAATAAATGATTAAAGGCTTTGGGGCTTTCTGGAAGCTCAGAGATTGCCAAGGGACAAGGTGAGGAAGTCAAAAGCAGAGGACCTCTACAATCTGTGTTCTTGGCAAGGTCTGAGGTATACTTTACATGTTTTCCCTTCACATAAGAAGAAACTGTCCAAATACCATTGGTAACCTCCATTCATGACCTACCAGAACTTCAAACAATAAAGCACATGTCCAGAAACAAATTCACTGTCTTATCTCTAAAGCAACTCTTCTGGCAATATTTCCAAACTCAGGGAATGAAGTTACTACTCACCAGTCATCCAAATAAAAAATCTGGGAGACATCCTTGATTCCTCTCTCTTTCTAATCCCTCACATCAACTAATCACCAGGTTCCGATAAGTCCGCCTCCTTACATAGTTTTGAAATCTATTCCCTCTTCTGTATTTCAACTGCCTCTTCTTTAGTGTAGGTCCCTTTCACTTCTCTCCTGGAGGATTGGAATATCCTTTAATTGGTCTCCTGCCATGTGTCTTTCTCAACTTCAATTCTTTATCCACTATTGCTAGAGTAATCTTTCTAAAACGGAAAACTGAACATATAATGAATCTTGCACAAAACAGTAGATTCCCTTACACAGTATTCTCTATTGCCAGGCTCCTGTTTATCGTCCTGGCTCCGTTACTCATCATTCTGCCCCCTTACACGCAAAGCTTCAGACATACTGACCTCAATGAATTCTCCAAGTAAGCCAGATTTCTACTCATGTTTGCGCTCTTCTCTTCTCTTTCTTCTTCCCTTTCTCTCTTCTTCTTCTTCTTCCTCCCCACTTCTCTCCTGCTCCCACTCTCTTCCCACCCCTGCGTTTGTCCTTTTCCTCGCCTCTGCCTCGATGTCCTCTCCCTTCTCCATCTCCCTAACACTCAGATTGGCTCTTCCTGAAGCTTCACCTCATAACTGCTTCTGTCCTCCTAGAGCCCACGACACTCACCATAGCGTAATATAACTATTTACTTGTTTCTCCATCACCCTCACCTGCTGCCTCTAAACCTTGTGAGGTCTAGACTGTGTCTCATGCTTCTTTGTACCTACAGACTAGCAAGCTTCCTGGCATATAGTAGGTGTTCATAAATTTCTTTTTTAATAAAATTATGAGCTAAGAAAATAACTAAGGTAAGTAAGGCACTTAACTTGTATCTAAGTAGTCATCCGAATTTTACTTTTTTTCCCACTGCTAATTGTTGCATACTTTTTTCTTAAGAGCCTGAATCATGTGCTAACTTCCTTCATCTGTTATCCATCCATGATTAACAAAAACCCCACCGTCAGAACTGAACCACCAAATCCAGGCGACACCTAGAGGCAGTGATGGGAAATGCAGCGAGAAGAAATACCTCCAGGCTGGGCTCGAAGACACAAACATAGAGGCAGGGCAGAGGGTAGCTTCACTTCCCAACCTCATCAACCCAGGTTGGTTGACATAAACACCACTGGAAAAAAAGGGCTTCTTTCTTGATATACCATTTATTTATTCTTGGAAATAAATAACTGTGAAAAGCAAATTTACATCTAGAACTTCTTAAAGAGATCCAGGCAGAGTACCATAATTTAAAATAGTACCATAAAATAGTACCATAAAGTAATTTATACTTTAATAAACCTGACTTGAAAAAACTACTGTAATTTAAAACACGACCTAAACCTAGAAAAAGAATTAAGATAAATGTCCCTCGGGCCCACAAGTATCCAGACAACTCATTCTCTACATAATACATTAAAAACGTTATGTGGGGCCGGCCCCGTGGCTTAGCGGTTAAGTGCGGGCACTCCGCTGCTGGCGGCCCGGGTTCGGATCCCGGGCGCGCAC